TTSWWRAMACTGGATTCATAGAATACAACCCTTGTTTTCATTGAATCCAGATTTCCGAGTATCCTACATTCCCACAAAACAAACGTGAGAATCCAGATGCCCGTCCAACGGGAATCTCGGATTTCCATGAAACAAACGACCCCTAAAACGAAGATTTTCAATCCATTCCTTACACTTTTGGTGCTACTAGATCATAAAGATGAAGTTGCATTTAATTTCATTTGTGCAAAAGTTAAAAGTCTTTTCATTTGCCTTGGATCATTCTTCCTACAAAGTTACTAGCTAGACTAGGTTATACAGCATACTACCACTAGTGGTAGATTCATAAATTTTTTTAAGGGATTTTATATAAARTTCAATAAATATGCTCCACGAATTTGGTTTCGAATATTACAATAATAGATTCAGATGGTACGAAAATATAGTTGGAAGGCTTTGATTTATATTTAGTTTATATATTTTATAGTAAATTGGTTGACAAGTTTTTCCCTTAAAGTTTCAATATTGTGTTTAATTAATAGATCTCTAAACTTAAAAAAAATATATTATATATCAATAAGTTCTTCAACTAATAAATTGTTGAACTGTTAACCAGCTCAACTAAGACACCTATGTCCAACAAAAAAGTTGTAAGTTCGAATCTCCACCTCCACTGATGTACTAAAAAGAAAAAAAAAATTGGTTGAACTGATAAACACATTGATACAACCTATAACAGATCTTGTTCAAGTAAGGTGGATATTTATGAACCAAACTTATAATTTATACCATTAAATTTGTTCAATAAAACATAGAACAAGATTTTCTGAGAATGAAACTTGAAATAATAAATCAAATTTTCTCCATTTATAAAAATTATATAATTTTTCATACAATCAATTATTTTTCAAATAATCTACTGAAGTGAAAATAYTTTTTAATTAATTTCTATTTATATTTAACCTAAAAARATAAATTTAAAAAAAGAAATTAAAATATTTATAACATTTCACTGCAATATTTTTTCTAAAATAAAAGTTGTTTTCTTAAATAAAGAACAATTGTTCCTTTATCTTAAAATAAAATAAAAAAACAGGGAAGTCTTCTTAAATAATTTTTTTTCCTTAAATAAAGAATAGTAAAAAAAAATAAAAAAATGATTAATGGACAGACTAGAGTTCCAAACTCAGGATTTCGAGGGGGCTTGAGCGTTCAAAAGCAGCTTAACCACTGTGCCATCAGTTAAATTCATTGCATTTAGTACACAATTTGTATATTAATTCCATAGTCTAAAGGAGGTCGTGGGCCCAACGTGCATCCGTTCCTACTAACTATTACATCATCTTATTGTTGAATAACTAATCGTCTCAACTCAACAAAGAGAATAAATAGAATATTTAATTTTTAATACAACAACATATAGAAGTAGGAAGACATATGTCTTAACTAGTTAAACTATGTACAGATTGGTAACTTTTATGTCCCCATCATAAAGGTATTAAACGTCACGAAAAGTGAAATTTGTGACGGTTTAAAAATGTGCTGATATAAATAAGTGGAATTCACCTATTTTAGGATTAAAAAAACTATATTTAGCATCACTGTTTTGTTAAAAGATTTTTTATAATAAAGACTGAGTTTTTAACTTAATTAAAGTTTTGAGAAGGACCAAATTTAAAACTATATATTAATATATTTTTGTTAAAAGTATACAATTTTCGCAAGTTTTAACATAAATAGTGAGAATATCCTACTTTAAAGACTAGGATAAATAAATTTATCTAATTCAGAATTAATTTTACGAGATGATTATTTAGCTATTTAAATACTTAGAGAATTACAAAACTAGTATATTGTATCTATAGCCATTTATTTTTAAAATAACAAAGTGTATATATATTTTTGATAACAACCCACGAACCCACAATATAATGAAGAATAGGTTATTGGTCAAGACATCACTAACTTTTCTTATAAATAAATGTAGGGGTGTTAGAAAACTATAAAAAAAAAACACTAATCCAATCAATCAAAATCGAGTGAACTGACATCGATCGGTGGATTTGATTACTGGTTCAGTCGGAAGTTAGTTTTCCAACATCAAGCTGAAAATTTAGCCTGACATARTTGTACGAACATCACCAAAAAGGAAATTACAAACTAAAAGCAAAGAGCATACTTTGCTCAATGGCTTTAGCCAGACAATTAATTACATAGCTTTCCTAAAGTGGACTACTCTCGATAAGGAAAGAAATATGCCCCAAAAGGAAGAAAATAAAATGGCTGGAAGAACCTGCTTCTTCCATCTTGTGAATTTTGAAAAAAAAAAACCCCTAATATTACGAAGACATCAAGAACCTGAAGGATCCGATTGATTGAATGAGAGACAATACAGTGACCAGTACAAGACTTTGTTGAGAATCCATATAAATAAATTAAATTTATCCAATCCATCCGTTTAAATTTTTAAGTTGAGTAGTGGTTTATCCATCCTTAATATGGTATCAGAACGGAAGATCTTGTATTCGAACCCTTACATTATTGAAACCTCAACAAAAAAAGAAAAAAGGAGAGTGAACTGTAGTTGCATTACAAATTCGAAGTCACATGCACTACATGAAATGAATAATTTTGGGCGTACAAAGACATAGTAGATGCAGGGTCGTGGCATTAAATATTTGCCTTTTAAGTTACTTTATTTCCATATTGAAATGGACATGAGATGTATCTATTATCTAAAGATGCCGTCTTCAACTGAAACATCAATTTTCTTTTGTCATTTTTCTCACAATGACAAAAGATAGTAGCATTTTCGATTGTGGAATAATTGGAGATATAAAAATTAATTTATCAGGTAGATCTACACGTGTCATTTAATCAACACATTTCTTGTAGATTACCCAATTAAATTTCTAATGTTGAAATATTTTCCAACTTCAAAGACACTTTTCACAAAGTTTAGAGAACAAAATGTTTCTTTTTTTCTTTTTTAATTATTATCGTGTTTCATATTTTCTTTTCTTTTTTAATTATAAATCAATTGATACAAAAGTACAAAATAAAAGGTCTTAAATGAATCAAAATTTGTCAATAAAAACCATGGCTTACTATTACCTAGTTGGACGCACACGTGGCAAGATATGTTGAGATAATTGTGAGTTTGACCAATTAAACAATCTTGCCACACCGATTACATCTATTTGAATAATTGGGAATTCAACGCACAATTTTGGGTTAAAACTAGCTACCCTTATTTTTATTTTTATTACCAATAATTTGTGAACGATTGCAATTGTATTTTTAGTCATAGTCAACATCAACTTAGTTCAGCAGTAATTGACACGTTTCTTTATTAAAATATCATGAATTCGAATTTCCCACCTCATTTGTTGTATTAAAAATTATTAAAAAAAATTGTATTGAGTTTAAATCCAAAGTGGACCTTGTCATTATGGAACAAAAGCAACTTTTTGTCTCAATATTAATATTTGTAGTTTTTTTTTCTTCTCTTTAATTCCTTTTATTTGCAAGGAGTAAGTTTTAAGTACTCCTATTTTTTACTATAGTCACATTTTCATAAATAGTTCTATGATCTCGACTAATTTTCCTGTCGAGCTCACAAATGTTTCAACATGAAACGATTAAGAGTGTTAAAGTTACGTAGTCGTTTCATCTATGAGAAATTTTTTTTATGGAAGAATGCAATTTATAATTTCTAATTAATCATTAAAGAGTAAAATTGAAAATTAAGAAATATTTTAGAATATGTCAGAGCAATGTAAATTATAACCTAACCTACCACACGTGGACCAATAAAAATGAATAATTGTACCTTGTTCTTCCACATCCTTGAACTTACCGATATTGAGCTAAATAGTTCAGCCTATGATAGATTGTCATAAAAGAACACCGATCGTCATAGCTTGTGCTACCTCATTAATGCTTCTCCCAAGCATATGAAATCAGGCTATGGAGCGAAACTAGTTACGATCGTGTAACAAACTCTTTGTATGGTTGTAACTGAATGGTCTCTCCCTCTACTCCTATAAACACGCACTCAATTCGATATTTGTAACTATCTGGAACTGACCTACTTAACCTTTGGCTTTAGACTAGCTTTAGTGTTGAAGTATTTGTACATTTTGTGTGCAGATTTTCTTGCATAGCTTGCTCTGCATAACTCGACGAGAAGAAACTCGATTCGAATCTCAGCTTGTCTAGAATCCAATGTAAACAAACAACCAAATCAACAATTATCTAAAAAACTATGAATCACATGGTGTATTAAGCCATTAATTATTAAAACTGAAAGAACTTAAATACAACATTTTAAGAAAAACATAATAAAAACTTCGTTCCAAAGCAAAGCCATGTTTTAAATTACCCAAAAGAATACAAAGAAAGTTGCAACAAATAAAAAGTATTCATTCAGCTTTTGGATCCTCAGTTCATGAACCCCAAATTTACACCGCCAACTGTTTCTGCATGAAATCATTGGCATCTTTAATTAGCAACGAAGCATCCTTCAGCTGAGGAACTGCATAAAATCCATGAATGGCCTTTGGATATTCAACCAAATCCACTTCTTTTCCTGCCCCTTTCAGCCACTCGTAGTACTTTCTTCCCCAATCTCGTAACTGGTCATGTCCTCCCACGATCAGAAGCRTCGCCGGAAACTTCACGCCGGAGATGTCTCCTGCATCGGGTCCGAACACGTGCGCCGCTGGGTGGTTTCTGTTGGACCCATTTGGCAGAAACGCTTTCCAATACCAATCTGCTTGTTCTAAGTTGACCATCGGCGACTCGCTGAATTGAATCTCTGACTCTACTCGCTCCTCCCCGCCGAAAAATGGTTCGATTGTGATTAATCCTTTGATATTCACCTGTCAAATCAAGACCCGAAATCTTTTAGATGAATATATATGCGTGGACTGGAAAATTATCACAATTTATAATAAATGATTATAGATATTGATCGAACGAAAAAAGAATTTTACTCTGATACCATGTTAAATTACGGTCCTAAAGCTTAACTAATAACAACAAATATGATAGTTTCATTTTTAAAATTTCAAATAATAGGCCCATGCCCTTTTAAGATTGTATTTATGTTAATCTTGTATGTTATGAACTGGCTTTATGTTAACTTTATCTATAAGTTAACAATTACAACTAAGCCTCTCAATGGGTCTGAAACTGACCTAATCTTTAAATAATATATTCATATCAACTAAAGCAATTAACAAAGAGACTTTGTAAAATAAAAAATTAAAAAAGAAATATTTAGATCCTGATACTACCTATTAATAATTGAAAACTCATTATTTAAAAGAAATATATTATTATGTTTTTTTTGTATTTCTGTTTCTAGTTGTTAAATATTTAACGATAGTCTACTCAACGGAACGAACAGTATTTAAGCATTTTCCAAATTAAAAATTTAAAAACCTATCATAACTTTTGAAATTACAAAGACCTCTCACTGTTAAAAAATTATAAACACAACTCAAAAAATTGAACAATACTTAAGCCTTTATTGAACATAAGACTTCTCATTCTGATATGATGTTAAAGATAAATAAAATACCACTCAATTTAAAAGTTTAAATGAATGAATTTTCGTATATATCCATTCTGGAGACTCCCCTCTTTTCTCTTGACCTAAGACCATAAAAAATTTTCTTTCTATTTTTTAAAAATTTAATGGTAGTCAGGTATTTTCGTACAAAAAAAAWTAATTACTGTTAGAAATTTTCTACAACACAACAGCCAACAGTACAGCTAGCAAACAGACAGTAGGTCCAAAATCTCTTCACCAAACTTTGTAATTTAATTATCACCTTGTTGAAATCGTAGTCGGCGGCTCTAACTGCCACGTGGTGGGCCAGGTTGCCGCCGGCGCTATCTCCGGCAAGAAAACAGCGGCCGAGGTCAGCTTTGACCGGAAAAGAAAGGGAATCGAAACCCACKTCGTCGAGGAACTTCACGGCGTCAAATCCGTCCTCGTAGGGACACGGGTACCGGTGCTCGGGAGAGAGGCGATAGTTGACGGAGACGACGACGGCACGGAGGTCACGTGCGAGGCGCCGGCAGAGGTCATCGTAGGGCTGGGAGTTGGCGGAGAAAAACACGAAGCCGCCGCCGTGATAGTAAACGACGACGGGCACGGTGAGATTATCAGGAACGGCGGAGGGGATGAAGAGGCGGAACCAGAGGTTGCSATTGGGGTCGAAAACGACGTCGTGGGAGGAAACGCCGTGGCGGGGTTTGGTGGAAGGAGGGGTTTTGGGGTCGAAGAGGCTCATCAAGCGGCGGTTGACGGTCATGTTGGAGCGGCGGCTGACGTATGAGGCGGCGGCGTTGAGGCGGACAAGCATCCGGAACTTCCATGGAAGCTTTGGAGCTTTCTCTCTCTCCAAATTCTTAGACATCTCGAGACTTGAGAAACTGGATTTTGAAGAAAGCTATATATATTTATTGTTTCTTGAAATCCATGCCTTTGGGCCTACAAAGACCGAATCTCGTTGTTTGGGCGGAGTAATATTGTGATAGCACAAGACTTGTCCCTGAAACCTCAAAGTAGGTGTTATTTCAACATTTCAAACCATTGTCACTACTTCATTCTCAGAGAACCAAAGAAAACTAAATATACCCCAATCKTATTTTATATTTCTCTTGCTAAAAATAATTAAGTTCAAACTTATTTTGTGCTCTTCACAGTTAAATATTTGACATAAAGAAAAATGTTGCAAAMGAAAAGAAATKAATGAGAGAATTTGTAATGAGCAGCTACAATCTAGTTGTCATATTTACAAATATAACAACAACTTTTTAGTTTTGGAAATCTGACAAAATATTTAAAATTTCATTTTTAGATCTGTAGTTATTCTGACTTTTAACTTTCTAAATTTTCGAATTCTAATTGATTTACTTTGTACTACATGCTAGAGATATCTGCTATAACTGATTTATTTTGTACAAAGTATACAAAGTACATTAAATTTATGTACTCAATAGGAAGAAGTACATCAAATAACTAATATACCTTGATATAATTTATACTAGATATATTAGTTATAGCTTYGTTGATGACAAATAAGTTATAACTAATATAATATATCAAAGTATATCAATAAACTGATATACCTTATATGAAATATCTCAAAGTATATTATATGTACCGTGATATTCTTCATTTAAGGTATATAAAGTATATATATAATTGATATACTTATATGAAGTATATCAACGATATCATTATCAGTGACATACTTCATATGAGATATATCAGTCAACTTTGATGTATTACAACTAATATATTATAGTTGGAAATATCTTGATGTACTATAGTTGATACACTTAACTACTGTACTATAGTAGTTATGACTGATATACTTAGTATGAAATAGGTGATTGATATATTTTATTTTTTCAAATGATTGCTATATATATTATGCGTGACATGCCCTTTTGATGTTGTTCTCTTCATCTTTCAGATAAATGAGCCAATGAGTCCAACAGTACTTGTAGGGYTAAATAAGAGTCACTTTCGCCCACCTGCCTAATGAGACTTGGGGTTCCCTCGAAATCCCCTAGCATGTAAATACTGGTTAACTACATGATCGACCGCGTGTTTCCTGTAAACTATTACGAGTTCAAGCTTGAGGACGAAGAAAATAGATAGGATGAATATTTTATGAAGTATATTAATTGGTGAAATACTCGATATATCTAATAYGCAATAGATCAAGTTATATACATTGGTAATTTTTACCATGATTTCATAATTTTTATGTTCAAAGCTGTTATAATATCAATTGATTGATGGTACTTGAAATATATATTTCTAATGTGAGGAATTATTTTCTATTTTCTAGTAAATCTCATTGAATTTGGGGTATTCGTCACAATTTGATTAGTAATASGACAAAATTCTTTTAGGTAAAAGCCTTGCTCTTAAAAGTTTGTATATCATTTGTGAGCGTTTATTATATAACCTCTAATTAAATGTAACAACAATTTTGGAGGACATCTATTAATTCTAATTTATAGAAAATGTCAAAGGGGTCATTATTCATTTGAATAATTTTTTTGGGAARAAGTTTTATGATGTTATCTCAATTTTATAATTTTGAGTAAAATTGCACTTACAAAACTCMTAATTCTAAATGAAAATATATATTAAAGTAAAATAAAACATAATGTGTATATCATTAGTACATCAGTGTTCATATCARGTATATCAATATGGTATATATCAACAYTTAAAGTATGTATATCAATAATATATCATATATAAGGTATACCAACACGCACATATATATTAATAACTAAAAAATGGAATAAAATCTATCATATTTTTAATTATTTTGATTTTACTCTTCTAGATTTTTAGATATATCAATGGTATATATACCAAATTAGGTATATTGATGATATATAAAATCAGGTACATGAATGATTTGTATATCAACATTCAGATATGATATATAAAATCAGGTACATGAAATATATCAACATTCATATAAAGGTATATCGGTATTAACTAATTTACTTTAATGTCCTAGTACTAGGTAAAGTACTCTGGTCAAATTCTCATGACCATTAAATACTTTCCTAGTTTATCCTTTATTTGTAACCGTTGGAGATATGTTCCTTCTCTGATTTATTTTTTCCTTTTGTACTGTCCATTCTTTTTTTGTGCAAACTACATAATAGCTAGGTTGCATAAGAAATGTACAATTTTTCTCTTTTGAGGTGATATAGAACAATCACGTTTTGAAGCATTTCTAACAACCTTTTAATCGCAACATCTACTTTAGAGGTGGTTTGTACAATTTACCCTTAATTTTAAGACATCGGTTAAATTTTGATTGATCTGRCAATTTTGTTATTTAGTTACGAAATTATCACATAATTAGTTAAAACTTGTCTTTTTTCTAGTGTGGTGATAATTATATAGCAATACTCAAATTTAATTTTTGAGTAACTTGTGGAATGCGATTGCAATTGAACTTCCAGGCTGTGTGATTTCGTTACATTTAATTTATGTTAGATCTATATTGTGGACTACAAGTGCCAGAATAATGGGCAGGTGATATTATGGTATGGTTTCATCCAAAGTAAGACGAAAAAAGCGACGCAAACCAAATCGGGCCATCTAAGCCAAGTAAATCGGGATGGATCACCTGTGCCAATTCAGCCGAGCCGAACCGATTGGACCGAGCAAGGTGGTACAATCACCTATGAGCTGGCCTAACGAATCATTATCACCTCCAATCACCAAGATCAGTGCTAGGAAGATTAACTTTTATTGTTGACTTCATTATTTGAAAGTTGGAAAACGATGAAGATAGTTGTGTCAAATTTGTTAGGAACAAATGTTGAAATGTGATACAACAATTGTTGAAGAAATTCGTAGAAATGAGGGTGGGRGAGAATATACTTCTAGTTCTGACTCAACATTGACTATAAAAAGAAGTAAAGAAAAGGTTGTATCTAATGACACGTAGCAAAAAAATAACATAACGAATGGAAGAAAGATGTCGAATATTTTTACTACCACAAGAAAGGCCGTAAAAAATTCATGATGGATCTGGTATAAGACAAATGCAAATGTAATTGTGCATGTTGATGTCTTTTTTTGTGTTTATAGTAACCCAAATACTAYTAGAAATATATGTTTCAGSGATGAAAATAATGTGACGAAAAAGTTTAGTCGTAAAAAACGCGACGAAAACAACTTTCGTAGCATAATATGTGACGCAAGTGAATTCATTGCAAAAATATGTGACAAAAGCAAATTTCGTAGATAAGAGGTAACCATTATTGTGGGTAAATTGACAAGACAACTTGAGTATACAGGTATCTTCAGATAAGAGGTAAACATTATTGTGGTACTTAGCAAYCATTGTTGTGTTACCTTAAGAGGTCTCTACAAATGAAGGAGAGGCCAATTATAATCTTTCCAATGTAGTTGAATCTGCTTTGACATAAGATAGGACGTAGTCCCGACTTTGCGACAAACCAGTATAAGTTTTTTGATGTTAAGGTTTTCTGTCCCTATCTTTCATTCCTTTTTTATTGTTATACTTGTGGTCTACTTTGTCCTATGGGAGAAAATAATAAAATAGGTACGGTCTTGTTTGAAGAATTTGTTGGAGATGATTGATTGATCTATATATTTTTCCAACAATTAGTGCCGAAAGTCAAGCTAGAGGCAATCTCAACTAGTATGAGGCCCAAGGTGACTTCATCTATAAATATGATGAGAGACCTTGTACGTGAGGTATGTTACACAACCCTATTTCTTGCCGGCTTAACTTAATCCATTATCTGACTCAGGCATTGGAAGTGTACTGCTTAATTAGCACCACATACTACAATAGAATAATGAAACTATTTCCACCAACTTTTATAGGTTATTAATAAAATAGGAAACATAATATATTTACCAACAAATATTAGAATTCATTAAAAATTATATTATATTTTATCAGAAGTTATTTAAAAAATCTTGAAAAATATTCACCGGTGAAAGGTCATTAAAAACCGTTGAATTTTTTTTTTTTGTATTTATAACCAAATGTTAAGAACATTAACATTATTAATGGTACTATCTTTTAGACAAGATTAATAAAACAATCTTTGAAAAAATGTTCACTTTATTAAAAGTTATTAAAAACATTTGAAAATTGTATGCTTTTATCAATAAATATTAAAAACTTCTGAAAATTATACCATCTTTATTAAAGGGTCTTTAATAATCTTCAAATATACATATATACTTTTTGTCGAGTGTATCTTTTATCAAAGTAAAAAAAAAAATGTATAAATATTTAAAACATTCTATTATATTTTATCAAATGTCTTAACAACCTCTATAAAAAGTATACCTACTTGTTTATGGCAATATTTTTTTTCTTTCGAAAAACAATATATTTATCCCACAATTGTTAAAAACCTTTGAAAAGTATCATATCTCTCATAAAGTTTATTAAAAAAATATTTTGAAAAAATATTCAATCATTTTCATAGGTTATTAAAACCCTGTGAAAAATATGTGTTTATCAACGAATATGAAAAACCTTTAAAAATTATATTATCTTTCCTCAAAGGTCTTTAATGATCCTTTAATACAAAATATATTGAGACACTAAATCGAGAAAGATGACAAAGAAGTCTAGTTAAGAAACTCTTGAGAATTGTATCTAACAATCTTGTTAACAAACAAGACTTTTAGATCACAAACTCAAAAACTCCAAAACGATCATGAAACCAACCTAAGGAAAGTAAAAATTAGATTACCTTGTTGATCAAATATCTCAAGGCCAGAAAACTCGTTCCTTTTTTGAGATTTGAATCACTCCACAAATAAGATAGATCAAGTCTCACTTTAAATAAAGGTTCATTTCATTAATCTTAATTTTATTTTCTCAAATTTGACATACATGACTATATATAGCCTTCAAAATAGAACTAAAGTAACATATGGGTATTTGAAAGGTTGGAACACTTGAGTCCATCAATTCCATAAACAACAGTTAACTAATTGTAACCTAAAAATAAATGAAAAGTCTTGAAACTTAAAATA